AATATCAACCTCATTACAGACATCCCAACACTTTGCCCAGGCAGCCTGCTGAGCAAGGTAACATTCGAGCTTTTCCTGCCTTGAGTTACATATTTATTTACATTTTTATGTTTCTAATCAGAAATACTTGGGCTTTTTTTTTTCCTTGTAGGGGATGAAGGGAGGGAGAGAGGGATGCTGATATCAATTTGATTTTGCTCTCCGGTGTATGAAAATAGAAAGGAACAAGATACCAAGTTTAGGAAGACACAATGGATTTATAGAGAAGATGCAGACTATCTGAGTAACTGTAAATGAATGTTGCAGGCAGAGGAAGGGTTTAAGGTATGCTTCTTGGATGAACGAGTCAACAAAGCAGCAGAAGGAAAGGTGTGAGTCTCTGGGGGGAAAATACTGTGTTAGTCCAGACAAGAAAAATGACCGGGAGCAAACAAATTGCAGGGTGGGAGGAAATGTGTACTTTCCCAGCTATTGCCAAGTATTGCTGGGATTTGTTTGAATCAGATTGGACTAAAGAGGAGACTAGTATTTCTCAAAGGGTGACCTGTGGGCCACTCACAGCAGGATCCCTGGAATGTGTGTTAAACAGTATAATTTCTGGACTCCATCCCTTGTCAATGGAATCAGACTCTCTGGGAGCTGATGATCTGCATTAGTGTGTGTGTGTGTGTGTGTGTGTGTGTGTGTGTGTGTGTGTGTGTGTGTGAGAGAGAGAGAGAGAGAGAGAGAAAGAGAGAGAGAGAGAGGGAGAGAGAGAAACAGAGAAGAGACATAGACACACACACACTCACAGAGAGGGGGGGGGGAGAGTCTTTTTAAATGCAAGCTCCCTAAGGATTGTGATACCTAATAATTTTGAGACCACTGTAGAAACCCTGCTTTGATGTTATGGCCTTGAGCCAGAATTTCTGACCAGGGCTTGTGACAACACACTTCTCTTTCTGAAGTGGTTCAAGCATTGGGTTGCCTAGAGGAAAGACAAGAAACTTGGGGTTAATTTGTTGCTTCCTGAGACTTAGAGAAAGGCTTTTGATGCTGCCAGCTTTTGGATGATGGTGCCAGGCAAGTTGTAGACAATAGTATGTGTGGAGTGAATGCTATGAATGAGCAGAATAGGTGCCGCAATGAGGGATCAGACATTAGTCACTTTGAAATTGTGTGTAGAACAAGTTGGGTAGGTTAAGAGGGGAAACTGAGGGCCAAGTACTGGGCTGTCCATGTGTGTAGGGTGAAAAGCTGAGCTAGGGTAGGGGCTGCTGCTGCTGCAGTGACCCAACCCCCTGAAGGACGTAATGATAGTAGTCACCACTAGTGACAGCTCTGCCTGTCCAAGCCACACCAGACTGGTATGTGCAGATGACTCTGTACCTTTTTAGAATCTGAGGCTGGTCTGCTGCAGAGACCTTTTGTTAGAAGCTAGGAGATCGAGCATTTGTAAGATTCCTGAGTATGATAAAAACATGACGACGGAGAACTCTTTTCTAACTTCATGCTGTCTACAAGTTTACAGTCCCCTCTCTATACACTTCCCAGACAAGAAAGATTAAGTAAGAATGGTGGTCATATTTGAGACTTAGCCAGGTCTGAAACATCCCTGGGGGCAAATTTAGAAAGAAATATGAAAAAGTAACTATGGATATACATGTAAATTTAGTCTCAAAGCATTTCCCCCCAAATTGAATTGATGACAAACATTTCAAAAATAATGCTTGTTGTGAAAAATTCAAATGATATAAGAATGAATGAAATAGAAAATGAAGAGACCTTCTTACCAGCACCAACTCTATTTTCTAAGCAGTGGGCAAGGTTAAGGCTTCTGTGCATGTCCTTCAGAATCTCTGTCTTCTCGGGTACACTCAAACATGAACAAATTTGCATAAAGGAGCCCCACTATATGATATTGTTGCTCTGTTCTCTGCTTTGTCATGTGGGCATCTTGCTATAATGTTGATGCATATCGAAGTTACACATATACATATAGAAATGTTACATTTCTCTATTGTATTCTATTCTATATTGGACCATAGTTTAATAATGACCAATTGGTGATTTATTTGTACTGTTTCCTATTTTTAAAGTAACAATTTTAAAAAACAAATCTTTCGATCTTCACATGTGGGAATAACTCATGAAATGTTTATTTCCACAAGAATAGCATGTAAGAATGGTTCTGTAGGATAACTTTCTAAAGACAATATGTATTTAAGCTTTTCAGAGGCATTGCTAAAATTTCTGCTGGAGATACTGCACCAATGTACGTGCCTCCCCAAAATGCATGACGGTGTTTTTTTTTTTTTTTTTTTTTTTAATATATTTTATTGATTTTATACAGAGAGGAAGGGAGAGAGATAGAGAGTTAGAAACATCGATGAGAGAGAGTCATCGATCAGCTGCCTCTTGCACACCCCCTACTGGGGATGTGCCCGCAACCAAGGTACATGCCCTTGACCGGAATCGAACCCGGGACCTTTCAGTCCCCAAGCCGACGCTCTATCCATTGAGCCAAACCGGTTTCGGCGCATGACGGTGTTTTGATTTCCCCATGCCTTAATTAAAGCTGAGCAATGTCAATATTTTTAATCTTTGCTAATTAGATAGATAAAAATATCTCATTAGCTCTTAAAAGTTCTATCTTCTTCTTAAAGCAATACATGGTAATTTTAGGAAAAGTAAAAAAAAAAAAAAACCATAGATGAGGATACAAAACAAAATATTTATAGCTCCCACAGATCACTACTACTAGCATTTTGGTGAATATTCCCCTAAAAATAAGAATATAACAGCTCCTCCCCCCCCCCACCCCACACACACACCTTCTTGCTTCTAGTTTGAATAAACTTTTAGCAGTTGAGTTAAAAAACAATCTAATGAATACATTTGTGTTGGATGTCAAGCACTGATGACTGCTTGTTGATGGCACTCTTTCCATGGGGGTGTTTAGATAAGTGGATTTTGGTAGATTCTGATATATCATTACAGGCCAGTGGAAGTCAGCAGAGGAGCAAAGGAGGAGGGAAGATAGTTCCAGAGACCCTACCAACATGCCTGGTGCTTGACTAACTCAACTGTGATTAGCTCCATAGAGGGTCATTATTATCTTGGAGATCCAGACAAAGACAGGGAAAGGGAAGGCTAAAGGATTGAAAAGACACCTGGGAACGAGGTCAAGCCAACGAGACAGGGTGACCTGACTCAGGACAGAATTTAGGGACATCAATGAAGAAGCATAAACAACTTTGAGGTACTTGTTGGGTTGCTGCTGAAATACTTTTGAGGCTAAGGAGACCTTTGAAATCCAGTTTGGAATGTGTTTAGTTCTCACACAATTCTGCATATGGAACAATTTAACAGGATTTTCCCTTTAACCAAGTCTTGAAAATTGGCTTTTAGCTTTTATGAAAAAATCAATCTCTGATGCATAATGCATGCAAGATGGGATGAACTTAGGTAGTTTAAAGGATGACCTAAAAAGAAACTTTGTTGGCTGCAGTCAGGATTAACCCTTGCTCTCCCCTTCCCCATGCCACCCGTGGCCAAAGTGTGTTCACCTGAGGAGTAGTTTCCATGACTACATCACTTTGGTTAGTTAATTAATTGAGGGGGAAAACTGGTGCCTGATATAATTGATTGGTCAAGAGTGTCTACCCAGGCGAATCTGGGAGAGAAAGATGGTAGTTTGAAAATACAATTGCTATTTTTTCAATTATCAGTACTAAAGAATTTTGAGCCCTAACTGGTTTGGCTCAGAGGATAGAGGGTTGGCCTGTGGACTCAAGGGTCCCAGGTTTGATTCTGGTCAAGGGCACATCCCTAGTAGGGGGTGTGCAGGAGGCAGCTGATTGATGTTTCTCTCTCATAGATGTTTCTAACTTCTCTTCCTCTCCCATCTTCTCTGCAAAAATAAATAAAATATATATATATAAAAAAAAGAATTTTAAGAGTATTGGGCTGATTGGGTCTAGAAAGGACCCAAATGGCATTTTCAGAATTTTTTTTTCTACAGTACTATTGATATCTGTACCACAACCCAGTTTTGTAGGTTTTCCTGGCATATGAAATGGCCAATGCTTTTGTTTTTGTTATTACCAGCAGATAAATATTATTCCTACCTCTTGCTACAAGCTATAGAGCTAATGACCATTGCCAACAATGCCTTTCAGGATGGCACCCCAATAAGCACCTCAAAGTTGCTCATAGTTATATCTAGAACGACTTGAATTTTTCATATTAAAAGTCCTTTGGAATCTTTGTATGTGCCCACCGTGGTTTATTGCAGGTTTAGAGCAGAATGTGGTTTTTGGTTCGAATATAGACACAGCTTTATAATTTGCTGCAGTGTTCACTAATTAAAACTGAGCAAAATTACTATCCATGATGCTTATTATTAGTTTGCATTCATAAACCTCAAGATTCACTTCATCCTTCAAGGAGTGAGTAATTACTTTCCTCGGGTTAGTAGCTTTATCATCCCTTTATGACCCATTTGGAAGAAATAAACAACCAACCTCTCGGGAGTCTGCTTTTAAAAAGCTGGAAATATATTGTCCGGTGAGTGCAATGAGGCTAATGCAATGTGAAAAATATGACTTTTCTCTGGTTTTAATAGCCAGTTTTTCCTTGCAATGTAACTCAGCAAATAACAATTGAGCACCTAAGATGTCTTAGGGAATTTGGGGAGACAGAGATGAATCACTCAAAGATTCTATCCTCCAAGAACCTAAGAGTTGGGTGGGAAGCAAATACGATGTTACATGCGTATATATGATGAACCATGGGTAGTATGTGCACTTTGGTTCATGGTACAGAGACAGTGTCAGAACAAGGGGGGACTCTGTGCTCTGCGGTATGATCAGCACCTAACATAGGATATTAAAATAGGATGAATGAATGAGTGAATATTTAATGTATTAATTTGTATTCCTTCTAAGATACATCATGCAATATTGACATTTTCCCCCTAATCGGACTTGTTTTCATTGTTCCCAGGCACCTCAGCCAGCATGGCTGTCTCTTTGCCGCCCTCTCTGGGACTCAGTTCGGCCCCAGAGGAGATCCAGCACCCGCATATTAAATTTTCAGAATGGAAATTTAAGCTATTCAGGGTGCGATCCTTAGAAAAGGCTCCCCAAGAAGCTCACACGGAAAAGAAGGAGTCCTCAGAGGGGAAACTCCCTCTAGAGCAGTCTCCTTCAGACCCAGACAAGGCTGGTGATGAGAAGCCGGCCTTGGCGCAACCAGCACTCAAGCCTCACCCTAAGTTTCTGAGGAAATTCCATGACGATGAGAAGGCAAGAGACAAAGCCATCCACCAAGCCCACCTCCGGCGTCTCTGCCGCATCTGTGGGAATTCCTTTAAAAGTGGGGAACACAGCAGGAGATATCCAGTCCACGGGCCCGTGGATGGTAAAACCCAAGTCCTTCTACGCAAGAAGGAAAAGAGAGCCACTTCCTGGCCGGACATCATTGCCAAGGTTTTCCGGATCGATGTGAAGGCAGATGTTGACTCCATCCACCCCACTGAGTTTTGCCAGAACTGCTGGAGCATCATGCACAGGAAGTTCAGTGGCTCCCCGTGCGAGGTCTACTTCCCGAGGAATGCGACCATGGAGTGGCACCCCCACACGCCGTCCTGTGACATTTGCCACCCTGCCCGCCGGGGACTCAAGAGGAAGGGTCATGAGCCAAACGTGCAGCTCAGCAAAAAACTCAAAATGGCACTTGACCGAGCAAGACAAGCGCGTCAGCGCAAGAAGAGGGCCCAGGCAAGGACCAGCAGCAAGGATGTGATGAAGCAGATCGCCAACTGTGGTAAGATCCATCTGAGTACCAAGCTCCTTGCAGTGGACTTCCCGGCCTACTTTGTGAAATCTATCTCCTGCGGGATTTGTGAACACATCCTGGCTGACCCCGTGGAGACCAACTGCAAGCACGTGTTTTGCAGGATATGCATTCTCCGATGCCTCAAGGTCATGGGCAGCTATTGTCCCTCTTGCAGATACCCCTGCTTCCCTACGGACCTGGAGAGTCCCGTGAAGTCCTTTCTGAGCATCTTGAATTCCCTGGTGGTGAAATGTCCGGCCCAGGAGTGCGATGAGGAGGTCAGCTTGGAAAAATACAACCACCACGTAGCGAGCCACAAGGACTCCAAAGAGACTTTTGTGCATATTAACAAAGGAGGCCGGCCCCGCCAGCATCTCCTGTCCCTGACCCGGAGGGCTCAGAAGCACCGTCTGAGGGAGCTCAAACTACAGGTCAAGGCCTTTGCTGATAAAGAAGAAGGCGGAGACGTTAAGTCCGTGTGCCTGACCTTGTTCCTGCTGGCGCTGAGGGCGAGAAATGAGCACCGACAGGCTGATGAGCTGGAGGCCATCATGCAGGGACGTGGCTCTGGCCTGCAGCCAGCGGTCTGCCTGGCCATCCGCATCAACACCTTCCTCAGCTGCAGCCAGTACCACAAGATGTACAGGACAGTGAAAGCCATCACGGGGAGGCAGATTTTTCAGCCTCTGCACGCCCTCCGGAGCGCCGAGAAGGTTCTCCTGCCGGGCTACCACCCCTTCGAGTGGCAGCCGCCTCTGAAGAACGTGTCTTCCAGCACTGACGTGGGCATCATTGACGGGCTGTCCGGACTGTCCGCCTCTGTGGACGATTACCCTGTGGACACCATTGCGAAGCGCTTTCGCTACGATTCGGCATTGGTGTCTGCTCTGATGGACATGGAAGAAGACATCCTGGAAGGCATGAAAGCCCAGGACCTTGATGATTACCTGAACGGCCCCTTCACCGTGGTGGTGAAGGAGTCCTGTGACGGAATGGGGGATGTGAGTGAGAAGCACGGGAGCGGGCCAGCGGTCCCCGAGAAGGCGGTGCGGTTCTCCTTCACAGTCATGAGAATCACCATCGCCCACGGCTCCCAGGAGGTGAAGGTGTTTGAGGAAGCCAAGCCCAACTCTGAGCTGTGCTGCAAGCCCCTGTGCCTCATGCTGGCAGACGAGTCCGACCACGAGACCCTGACGGCCATCCTGAGCCCTCTCATTGCCGAGAGGGAGGCCATGAAGAGCAGCCAGTTGATGCTGGAGATGGGAGGCATCCTCCGGACTTTCAAGTTCATCTTCAGGGGCACCGGCTATGACGAGAAGCTTGTCCGTGAAGTGGAAGGCCTCGAGGCATCCGGCTCCGTCTACATCTGCACCCTGTGCGATGCCACCCGCCTGGAGGCGTCTCAGAACCTCGTCTTCCACTCCATAACCAGAAGCCATGCCGAAAACCTGGAGCGCTATGAGGTCTGGCGATCCAACCCCTACCACGAGTCTGTGGAAGAGCTCCGAGATCGGGTGAAGGGGGTCTCGGCCAAGCCCTTCATCGAGACGGTCCCTTCCATCGACGCCCTCCACTGTGACATTGGCAATGCGGCCGAGTTCTACAAGCTCTTCCAGCTGGAGATTGGGGAGGTGTACAGGAACCCCAATGCCTCCAAGGAGGAGAGGAAAAGGTGGCAGGCCACGCTGGACAAGCATCTCCGGAAGAAGATGAACCTCAAGCCCATCATGAGGATGAATGGCAACTTTGCCAGGAAGCTCATGACCAAAGAGACTGTGGAGGCCGTTTGTGAGTTGATTCCCTCCGAGGAGAGGCACGAGGCTCTGCGGGAGCTGATGGACCTTTACCTGAAGATGAAGCCCGTGTGGCGATCGTCATGCCCGGCTAAAGAGTGCCCAGAATCCCTCTGCCAGTATAGTTTCAATTCCCAGCGTTTTGCTGAGCTCCTCTCCACCAAGTTCAAGTATAGGTACGAGGGCAAGATCACCAATTATTTTCACAAGACCCTGGCCCACGTCCCTGAAATTATTGAGAGGGATGGCTCCATCGGGGCCTGGGCAAGTGAGGGCAACGAGTCTGGCAACAAACTGTTCAGGCGCTTCCGGAAAATGAATGCCAGGCAGTCCAAGTGCTACGAGATGGAAGACGTCTTGAAACATCACTGGCTGTATACCTCTAAATACCTCCAGAAGTTTATGAATGCTCACAATGCATTAAAAAACTCCGGGTTTACTATAACCTCGCAGGAAAGTTTAGAGGACCCATTAGGCCTAGAGGATTCGCTAGAAACTCAAGATTCAATGGAATTTTAAGCAGGGCAGCCGCTTATGAGTTGGTTTTGCAAATGAGTTTTCCTTTGGGTTGCACCGAGGTCTTCTCCTAGCACCCTTCGGTCTCATGTGCGGGGCTTCACCACCTAAGAGGTGGTCGGTTGGAGAAGCCACCGGGGCTGAAACCATTTCAGGAATGGGTAATGGATGAGCGCCGATTGCTTGTGTTGGTTAGGGAGTTCAAAGAAGCACCGGGAGAAATCAGTTATTTGAAAAGCTCGATAACTCAGATCAGAAGTAACTGCAGGAGAACGGAGATTAACAAAGATATGTGTGTGTGCATGAGTGACGTGAAAATCAAAGCCAAGGTTGTCCAAGAGGAATGACTAGAGCTGTCAGGGGAGGAGTTTGTCTTGTGGTTTTCATTTCACTCCCATTTATTATAGTTTGTATTGAGATACAAGTGTTTTCTATGTCAGTTTTGTAGAATTCTTTATTTTATAATGTTCACATATCTTGGCTTATTTTACAGGATATGAAAGAACTTTTCAGAATTCTCTAATAATAGTAATAATATCTTACAGTTGAATGGGACAATGACACATACAAAGTGTATTCAATGTGTTTTCTCATTTGGTACATACAGAAATATCCTATATCCAGAAAAATGTTTGGAAAATTAAACTTTTTTTTTTAGGTTTAAATGATGTCTCTATTGGAACCTTGAAAGGTTAGGAGGTCATCAACTGGCATAGATTTTTAAATAATGAAGTTTGAAGAATACAACTGTTTGCTACAGTTAGTTATTGACTTTTTTTGGTAATACATGCCTACTTAGCTATCAGGAACCAGGTGTGATTTTTATTTTTTACTTTTTAATTTTGATTAATTTAGTCTTCAAATGTTTTGTTCTACAATCTCAGAGCCACAGAGGATTCTAAAACCGGGGTTTGCTCACTGTGCAAACACAGATTTAATAACTTGTTGAACATATCCGCCATATTTTCTCCATATGAAACCTGGATCAATTTTACAAAATCCAGGTTTCCTGGAGTCTTTCCCTCTGTAATGTGTTACTCTTTCTTTTCTTTTTTTTTTTTTTTTAAATTAATTTTAGTGAACTTCTGTATATTTTTTAAAAATATATATTTTTATTGATTTCAGAGAAGAAGGGAGAGGGAGAGAGAGATAGAAATATCAATAATGAGACAGAATCATTGATTGGCTGCCTCTTGCATGCGCCCTACTGGGTTCGAACCTGCAACTTGGGTGTGTGTCTCCAGGCTGACACTCTAGCCACTGAGCCAAACCAGCTAGGGCCTGTATTACTCTTTCTATCATGATAAGCATATTGAGATTTTTGTTTTTATAGCTGAATACCTTTGAACTTCTCCCATTTGCTAAGTTTAGGTACAGCCTGCTCATAGTACAGTGGAAGAATTAACATTTATAGAGTGTTTTTATTTTATGGCACTTTTGGAATATTGTTACATTTATCTTGCCTGTTTTTTTGTGTGAGGTAAACATAGACATTGCTATTATCCCTATTTGATGGAGGGTTACATGATTTGCCCAAAGTCATAAGATAATAGATACCTGATCTGGAATTTGAACTCAGGCCTTTTGTCTCCAAATGCCATGTTATTTCTACCACAACAATTCACTGTTTTTTGTTTGTTTGTTTGTTTGTTTGTTTGTTTTAAGGCAAGATTGTACTTGTTTAGGACCCACAATTAATCCCTACAGTTCATAATCCTTGGATTACGTTTCTTGGAGGCAGGGATGGGTAGGTTTTAAGCTATTGGTGTGCTTTCAGATTTTTTTCTAGAAAGTAATGCAAAAGCTCCCAAGAGCCCCCAGACCTCTGATGGCTTTAGTTATTTGGAAACTGTTGTCTGCATCCTTAGGAATTTGGGAATTGCCAATTGCTGGCAATTTAGAGCAGGCATGGGATTTTATATGTAGTGAGTCAAAACAATATGTTACTGTTAATTAGTTTTTCCTTCTTTTGATTTTATTGGCCAGCAGTGTCACGCTTCATACACAGTATATCCAGGAGCTTTGTAATTTAGTTGTCAAACACGCATCAGTGGCATTTTCCCAAATGATATTGCATTTGGTGTTTTTAATGGGGATTGAACCCAGTATTTTTTTCATTTAATACATACAGCAGTTTTTCTTGCTTTTTATATATAGAATATATGGAAGTTACAATGACACTTGTAATGTAGTCATCAAAACCATATACATACTTCAGGTTTCTTTTTTTCTTGAAAAAGGGAAGTGTTGCATTTTATAAATGAATGGACTTCTAAGCCACCCATTTTCTTCATTATTAGTGTCTCTGCACTAATTAATAGCGGAATTCATGCCATCAGCCTACTCCCCGAAGCATGCTGGTCCTGGTTTGTGGATTTCCCCCCATTTCCAGTCTGTCACTCAACTGGTGGCACTATAAATACTTTCCAGTATTTAATTCCCTTTTTCTAGTCTTGTAGGAACAGTTTTGAATGCATGTGACTAACAGCATGATTCCCAGCACAACCATCCCTCTGATCCCTTAATCAGATCCCATTTCAATAGACCCCAGGAACATCTGGCCACAGGCATTTCAATATGTAGAAATGCTGCTGCTGGTTGTTTTTGTCCTCACTGTTGAGACCGCAGCATCGCAGACCCTGGTTTTATGCTGCACTTTGACTTTTGACAATGCGCGTTGTAAATGCAATCATATACTCCCGGGAAACGCAGCCCAGTGTACGGAGCATTTCTTTGAAGTATGGGTGGGAGCTTCCGCAAGCGCAATGCCTTTTCCTCCTGCGGAACCTATTCTACCAGTTTTCCTTCCAGCCCACCGAGGGGCACTGAAGGGACCAGCCATAATGGCTGATGAAAATTGATGAATGGTCCGTGGGAAGTCAAAAAGCACTCTGGGATTCATAAACACGCTCCAAGAAGCAAGAGCAGGAGAAAAAGATGTCTTTTCCTTCCATGTGAGCTGGAATTTCGTTTTGCCTCAATTTGTTCTCACAAAATATAGATGAAGATAAAGATTTTTTCTTTTTTTGTTGTTGAGCCTGTGAGTCTTGCATTACATCAAACAGAATTCAAATTCCACACAGCTGGGAGCTAGGATCTGTAAGCACCAGCGGTGGTTTGGAGGGACAAATCACTCAGATGCAAGTAGTTTTTGATTGCAGATTTGCATGTATCTTCAGCTATTGTATGAGACAGGATCTATCCTTTCAATGCTGAGAGATTTTAAATGAGTGGGTATTTTGTCCCAATTTTTTTTTTCTTTAACTATAGTAATTTACCTCAGATAATTTTTGGTGAGATTTTATTTTTATTTTTGTGGCATTGTAGTTCACTTTATTTTCTTACAAATAATCACAATTTGTTCCATGAACTTTGTTGTATGGACGGTTCAGGTATCAGGATAAAATGGATTTATTTGATGTGGGGGGAACCTTTATTTCCATGTCAAATGTTTTAAAATTCAAGGAAGCCTGTGTTTCAATACTTATTTTAATATTTTAATATTTCTACTCATTAATATTATGGTTACTGTTAACAATTTTGTGTTTAAGTATTTGAAATAAAAGTTTAAAATTTGGAGATAACGAGTATTGTGATTTATTTTCTTTTTAAACAAATATATTTTATTGATTTTTCACAGAGAGGAAGGGAGAGGGATAGAGAGCTAGAAACGTCGAAGAGAGAGGAACATTGACCAGCTGTCTCTTGCACATCCCCAGCGGGGATGTGCCCACAACCAACGTACATGCCCCTGACCGAAATCGAACCTGGGACCCTTCAGTCAGCAGGCCAATACTCTATCCACTGAGCCAAACTGGTTTCGGGTATTTTCAAATAATAATATCAAGTCCAACATTTGAAAAATGAAGTAACACCTTTTTTCTTGAGGGAAACACAAAATAAATTTGTTGATCTTTAGAATAAAGGGCAACAGAATTGTGATAATGAGTATCATTTATCCTAATGCAGAATGAGACAATTTGGACCTGGATACTTGAGGTAAACAGTAAGTCTTTGAAAATGTAGGATTTGCACATCAGTGGGTTTTAACTCCTTTCAGAATTGAATAAAAATAAGTTTCTGTTCCCCAGAAAATTCACATATTCATTCACTCAACATTTTGGTCAGAGAAGATGACTTGTCCAAGGCTCTGCAGATATTGGCAGAACTGAGCAACCCAGGTTCTTTTGTCCAGTGCTTTTCCTAATGATAACAACAACAACAACAACAACAACAACAACAACAATGGCTACCACTTAGCAAACAGTATAGCAAGCACTCTGCATCTGGGGCTCTCACTGGATCCTTTTGGAGTTGGCACCACTCTTCCCTCCATGTTACACACAAGGTCAGGGGAGCTTATTTCAGCCAGAAAATGGCCAAGTCACCTCTACACAATTTCCCCTCTGCACCTGTCTACCTCCCCTTAGCACCGCTCAGTCATCTCTCTGTCATCTACAGGAGACATCCCAGTTCTCTTTTACTCAGAACTGAGAATCAGCGGGCTGCCTCTGTAACCATACAGCTTTAAAACAGCGAAGTATGCTTGTATTTGTAGGTAAATAGCGTGTGCTCCAAGACCCCCCAGTACCCTTCCCTATTCCAGCAGCTCTGCCCTATCCTCCAGAAACCCACAATCCAGCAAGTGACAGGTTAACTCCAAGCATAGCAGGAGCCTTAAAGATCCAGCACCAGGCTAGCATCTTCTTCGATTTACTTTTTTTTAGGAATATTATCTTGCTTTGTTTCACTTCCCCCAACTTTTTTTGTGGTATAATGGGCAAACAAAATTATATTTAAAGGTGCAACATGATATTTGTTATATACGTGCACTATAAGATATTTACCACAATCAAGTTAATTAATGCATAAAACACCTCACATATCTATTGTGTGTGTGTGTGTGTGTGTGTGTGTGTGTGCGCGTGTGTATGGTGAGAACACTTAAGATCCACTCTCTTAACAAATTTCAAGTGTATAATTTAATATCAGTAACTATAGTC